GTTTTTCCTCGTAAAATGTGTACTCTCCACTTTGCAGCTGATAAGCAGAGTGCAACGCATTTCCATGCCAAAACATCCAGCTACCAAATTGCGGTTACTTTTTAGCCGTTTTACTCTTTGGGTTTGTTGGCCACAACGAGCACGAAACTTTCTTTGGCCAATGGCGACCTTTGCGCCAACTGGCGGCTAGCGTGTTTCCTACCATTCGCCGCACAATGAGAGAAAATTAAGGAAAATATCAAAGTCACGATCGGCGACGCCATAATCAGCATGATCAATGATGCCCCAGCCCGAAACTGAGCTGGCCCTGACTGGCCAAACGAAATGTTTTCTTGATTAATGCCCAGAGCCAAGCCGTTTCTCAGCTGAACTTTGACATGCAAATCTGAATGCGCGTCGAGTCGTGCCATTGTTGAATATATGTACGTATATGTGTCTATGCTCGCGATTAACTCTTGGCTGTCCACACACGACACGCTAAACAGACAGATAGACACCTGTTAGTTAGTATAAATGCCCGGCTGATAAGGCATGTTAACGTCAATCGATGCTCGCTAATTGAATTTCGACTCCAACTGATGCACAACGACAACATCAACATCAACATCAGCATCAGCGTGAGCAGCAGCAGCAGCTGCAACTGCAACTGCAACTGGAAATGCAACTGCGTTTGACGGCTCCATTCGAGCGTGACGCGATCTTGACAAGGCGGCGCCAGCTCAAAGCACTCGCAACTGGCATTTGTTCGCAAATCTCTGCCGAAACTGAATAGAAGTCTGAGAGAGCTAAACGGTTCATGACAGTGCTGTGAACCGAAACACTTATCAGAAACCAATAAAATTGTTTGCCTGCATATAATCATGCAATATTGCGATATTGACTGCATTCAAAGAGCTTCTACTGTTCGTTTAAATGCAAATAATTATGGAAGTGAAGATAAGAACATCGATGGAGTTTGGCTAATCCGATTGGATAAAGGCGGCTCCCCGTAAAAAGTTTAAATACAAAAAAATGAGCTTCCTTTTTTGCAATAAATATCAATAATGACAGCAGTCAAGAGCCTTGAGGAGAGACTT